CAACACTTGGTAGGGGTTACTGCACTCCACACCCTGGTCAGCTTTCCTGAGTCTGTCCCTAGTCCCCTTGGAAGCAACCACTTTCAACGCCTGTTCCTACTTCGCAGGCAGGACACTTACTAGAAGGAGTTCAGTCTTGAGGGCTTCGTTCTCCCCACTTAATATGTCTATCTCTCTCCTCAACTGCTCCAGCTGAATTAACAGAGTGGCCAAGGGGTCGTCTTTCCTCAAACTTCGCCCCTCGTCCCCCACAACACAACGATCCACGGCGGGCATTTTTGGCCGCAGTGTTATGTTCATTACCACCACCATCCTGGCCAGTGTTGTGTTCATTACCACCATTATCCATACTCAGCCTCTTCTCAAACTTAATTTCTACCTCATCTTTTCTCTCTCTCATTCCTCCTTCATCCCTTCCTCATCCCTGTATGTCCCACACTTCTCTCTCCTCCTTCCTTCCTCAACCCTTCCTAATCCTTCTCTGTACCTCACCTCTCTCTCATATTTAACTCTCTTTCTCTCTCCCCCACCCTTCTCTTTCGCTTTACCATTTTCCCTCTCTTTACGTTAGTCTTCCCTCCTCTCTCTCCCTTATTTACTTCCCTAACTCATGCCACCCCCTCCCCCCGCACCATACCCCTCATCCTCTCTTAAAAATCTTTCATCCCTTTCTCTAACTGACCATTACACCACAGGTCGCCCTGTGGTGTAAGACGTTATACTCGAATGGCTAAGGCACTGTACTCAAGAGATTAAGACATCGTACTCAAGGTAGTATTTACGTACTTGAGGGATTTGACACCGTGTTGAAGAATTATATAACATTTCAAGACATAACACTCGCGAAGTTCTCTGGGTTTGATAAAGTAATATGCGATGATACAGAAAAAGTGAATGATGAAACATATATTCGTAGGATGATATAGAATTCGTAAACGATAAAATACAGTAACATATATTCGTTGGGTGATATAAAAATAGTGAATAATTATATATAGCTAACACGTATTCGTAGAATGAAGTACTGGATTATTAAATGAACATATATGACTCGTATTAAACAAAAACATCATCATCCTGACTTATATATTTCTGACATCAACATCTATACGATCAACATCTTCTCATAGAAGCTAATTATATAAATCGGTAAAGTATATTGTGTCTATAAGGTTTTCAATAATAGCCACTTGAAGTTATAGAGGATTTTAGTCCATTTCAATGCGTCATGAAGCTTGGGATTAGCTGTCGTGGTTCCATTAATGTATTCCCCTCCCTTCCTTTTCCTACCCTCCCGTTCTCCCTATCCATTCTTTCTTTCTCCCTCTCCTTCCCGTCCCTTCCACTCTCCCTCTAGCTTGTCGAAGGACAAGTGGTGTAGTTCTTAGTGATTGTACTACTACTACTACTTTTTTTTATAACAATGGCCTCCATCCTCCCCTTCGCCACCATTTTATTACCTTAATATTAAATATCCGAATACATAAGTAGCTATCCTAGCTGTGTTGAGTTAATTGAGCCGCAGATCTATGCGGCATTCAGTGACTGTTGCCTCATAGTCACTATCTGCAACTATTGTCGGCTTTGGGGCCGATGCTCTCATTCCACTGAGGCAGAGCAAAGCCGACCTAAGAGAGAGATGGACAGTCGACATCTCATCCAGGCTGTAATATAACTTCTGGGCTGCTGCTTCTGTTCGGATAACACCTCTGCGAGTCTGGCATAGAAGCATCTTGTACTTGGTCCCATCCCTCCAGAGGTTGTGGACACTAAAGGAGTGAAGCTGCCTTGATCAACGTTCTGAATTTTCTCCCCATATGCCCTTATCTTGTCGTTCTCGTTCCTCCTGTGTGCAGCATCGAGAGCTAAGTTATGGTGAAATGCGGCCATGGGATCAAAAATCCTGATGTCGAAGAAGGCTCGCTGTCCCCGCATCCAGAATCCTCGAGTACTGACGTCTACACGGGCTTCGTTAGATGTGTTTGAAGTCCTATGTTGGAAATTCTCACCTTCCAATGGAAGGAGGGTCGGTTCTACCCTGACATCACGGCAGATTTCCTTTAACATATTTGCTGTGAGATCCTTACTTCGTCATGCCTATGCATATGAAGCCCCCTTTCTTGCACACCATGTCGTGATCTACGTCATAGGAAGAGCCACACACGCATTGGGAGGGTAAACCTTCTTATGGCCTACCGTACCTTAGAGCATTGACATCTGTAAATTCTTGTTTATTGAGACTGAAACCATTTGCCCTTATCGGTAACGTAGTTAACCAGTTCGAGGCGCCCACCTCCTGAGCTATAGCTTTTTTTTTCTTCAAATTCTCTGGTACTTGCAGCAACATTTGCTGCAACTTATCACTTTGGCTGTGCTGTCGTAATGGACCTTCGAATTTTGTTTACTTCATTGGTATCCACCTCCCCTGTTGCGTTCGGAGCTATTATGCGGTCCGTGAGGGCTGCCGTGAGCTTAACTGAGTTTTGATGTTCGCCACTTGCTTGACCTCAGTTGTTTCAAATTTTATTGTGTGTTGGAGCATGGATAGGCCTATTGCGTACATTGCCATTGCAACAGGGTCCCCCTGCGTTGCACCTTCGGTTGCTGTATAATGGTATTACCTCTTAGAGCCTTGTTTTGTTTACTATATAGAGGTCTGATGGATTCCTATAGGAGTTTTCAACATACATTGCAAAGCTTGGACACTTGATCTTGATGTTGTGCACTGCGGCCTTGCGGTTAAGTATGTTGAATGCGTTTGAAGCGCCCACCATGAGAACGGCCTCACAATCGCGCTGTTCAAATATCGTTCTCATGGCGTGAATGGCAGCTTCCCCTCCAGCCTGGTGGCCAGCACAAACTTGCAGGTTCCCTGCTGCTGCCCTGATATCATCCTTTACCACCTCCATTATGCATTTTCCGATGATTCGCCTCAGCACTTTCGCCACCCCTTTAGGCCTACATCCTGGTTTCTTATCCAGGGGAATGAGGCGGCAGGCCGTCAGAGCATGGAGGTGTTGGCAGCACGAGGATGCCAGCTTTCTTGCAAGGACGGCAATGGCAGTGCAGAGATCACTTGCTACGGGGCCGAACTTGTTAGTGCTGAGGATGACTCTCCAACCGTTTGCATCCAGACCTGAAGAGCCGGTACCTCCCTGAGTCTTCAGTGCCTTTTTCCACACCGTCCCTCCTGTTATTTTCTAGAACAGGACAGCATTTGGTGGGATATAGTCACCCTGGAACCTGATGCCTTCGTCTTCACTTGCAGGGGATATTTTTCTTTCAGTTGTTTTAATGTCTCTCTCTGTTTATTGGCAGAGCCCCACCGGAGGATTCCTGTGTGAAAGATCTTACCGCCAAAGACACTTTTCCCACACGCATTTTGTTTCCAAACTTTCTTGCAACGTTATTAGTGTTTTGCTTTCACAAAGTAAGGGGGACACAACACAGGCGCCACAAGTGATAAACGCACAAGACGTTTTCAACTTCTACCTCTCAGAACAGCCTAGACCTACACTAACTCTCCTCAACTCGCCTGGAGATATAATACAACAATAAGGGTCCGTGGCGCATCACTGTTGAGTGTCACCAAAGCTGATGAAATATTAAGAGTGTTCCTCTATTCACCAAGACACTGACAGATCCTGGGCACAGAAAGTCTCGTATTACTTTTAATCTAAAGATGTCATTTAATTAATACTGACTGTTGGGTAAATATTGATGACACTCCGGTTATCAAAACCTCATCACTACGTATCTTTTTTTGTTTTTCATTTAGTTACAGTTACTTAAGTACTCCTTACCTCAAATCATGCTATTTTCTTCACTTGTGATGTTGAACCATCTGCCAAGGCATTAAGTCTCATTTGGCCGATTGTAGCGTAACTCATGTCGAAGGTGAAACAAAATAATACAATATCTTCATGTGTATTATTGTGGAAGTATTAATGATTTACATTGGTGACGACACATGCAGTAATTGAATATGGAATATCTGCTTATTAATACTAAAGTTAGACTTCAATTATATATATTCTATATACTGTATAACTGAAACTTTTACCCGAGTGGTTCCTAAATTCTTCAACTACTGTAGGTGACCTTAACAGATATTCTAACTAGTAACATTGTACAGTACATTAATGTTGTTATAATAATGGAATACCAGAAATATATTCAGTTCGTGACCTGTCTGATAAATTCCAAAATATTGATAAAATATCCTTGCCATTTTTACTGATCTGAGGCAGTACCATAACACAAGGTTCTCTAGAAAGTGTATTACAAGTTTCTAACAACTGGGTGGTTGGTGTAGTATTAACCTTGGCCTCTACAGTTACAATGATTTACTGTCTAGAGTCTAGACTCTACAAGACCTACATCATTACAAGACTGAGGTGTGTAAGGTCAATAGAGAGTGTAAAAGAGATACTCCAGAAGTAAGGCGAGAAGACCGAGTCCGTAGCCAAGCATCAGAAGGTAGAAGGTGACCTGCAGGTGGTGGAGGCCCAGCACCACCTGTCCGTCGTCCTCCTGGAGGAGAAATGCAAAACTGATATAACGACAAAACTACCAGGTATGAGTTGTGACGATTGTGAAATAATAAAAATATTTTATCATATTAGTGCCACGGTAAATGTGAAGGATAGAAGATATAACAAAAATGTGGTAATGAGGTGTGTGAAGGATGAGCGAGAAGACTCGGTGTATTTGAGGAACAATGTGTGCGAGTTTCACTGTATGTTCAAGTCTCCTCTGGGGCATCACACCACAATTGCATTACTTGATAAATAACGTTATTGCCATTGTCTTGGTTCTTCCCGGCCTCTTCCTCCCGTTGTTGTCTTCTGGTGTCTCTCACGCGGGTGAAGATGACGCCATCCATCCAGAAGGTGATTAGGCCAGCCTCCAGCAACCGTTGAATGGCCAAATCCAAACGACGTAGGAAGGGCGCCCCTTTCCTGTCAGAAATTTTCCAAATGTAAACCATTATTGAGTATGGTTTAGCTCAAGTAGTAAATATGTTTTGTTGTTTTATAACACATATTGTACTTGTAGTATTCTCTCTCTAAAAAAAAGAAAGAAATAAGATGGGAGCAAAGCACCAGGAAGTATGTGACACCTACCTTGGTTCCTGTATGCATACAAATGACATGATGCTGTGTTAAAAGCTATAACGAATGTCTTCAGTAGCCTCTTGACCAACCATCACCATTCTAGAGTAGCTTTAGTCGACATCATAATTATTGTGTAGGTTAAGTAAAGTAGGATAAAATTGGGTCAACACTCACCTGAACGCCCAAGCATTACCAGCAAAAAGTGGGTATTCTGTGGCACTGATATGGATGGGCGTGTAACCCAACTTGTCGGTGTAGCTGGTGGCGACCATCGTCCTCGAGTAATACTTGCTGAAGATGAAGGAATAGCCACCCTCCAGCACCATCTCCATCCCCTTCACCAGACTGTCAGCCTGTTGTAGGAGGTAAAAAAGTGGATTGCATTCTTTCCTAGGCTTTTTTAAGGATTAAGACAGATATCAGTCCTTTTTTGTCTCAATTAATATTTTTATTCCCTGATATGAAATGTCGTAAATGACAATAAACCTCCCCAGCTGTCACCGAGATCAGTAAGGAATATGAGTAAAGAAGTCTAAGGAGGGGGAATATGGCCGTCTTGGAAGATGGGAAACAGAGACCAAAGGAGGACTACGATGACACAGACGCCATTAAAACACAGAAGGCAACTGCTAGTGACAAGCAGGAGTTATACCTGCATGCCTTGATACATCTTCTGGATGGCTCGATCAGGGCTGGAGTTAAGGTAGAGGAGGAGGGCGCCAGTCATGCGAGGTGTTCCCCAGCGCCAGCCCTCCCGCCTAACTAGGTCATTCACACTGTTGATGAGCGGGGACTTCCCCTGCACCACCAGGTGAGAGATGAGTGACGACCTGTAGGCCGACGTCATCACCAGGCAGAACACCAGCCACCATCCCACCAAAATCTAGGAACACGGTATAGGTGGTGAGGAGGTAAGGCATCATCAAACACCTATACACCATTGCACTTGTTAGACAGGTAATCAGTATCATAACACCATCTGGGCGTACAGAAAAAGCAAGAAACAAATAAGCAACACCTGCACACACAAAGTACACCTCATCATAAACATAAAATTATTAAATATGTGATGTTCAGAATATCAACAATAAACACACACACAGACTCGGCAACAAGGAAACTCAAGAGTCACAGGTACTTGAGCAGTGATGTTGTTGGGAGGATCAGCTGGCGGGTCCTCCAGTATGATGCCCCAGCTGTAGAAGAGGGCGGAGCTGAGGGTGAAGCTCCGCCCACCTGACGCCCATGACCACACCTTCTGCAGTAGCCACAGTGTCGCGCCCCACACGAAGATGCTCACCAGCAGGATGAGCCACAGCTCTCCTGGGAGGGAAGGATAGATGTTAAAGGAAATTTGAAGCGACTGTAGAATACCCACTAAATGCACGGCAGTATCCTAACCTAACCTAACCAAACCAAATTAAAATCGAACATAATCTAAATAACCTAATGAACTGTACATAATCTAACCCATATGACCAAAACTTAACTAATCGATCCCAAAATAATCCATTATTAACCTAACCTAGCCTAACCTAACCCAACCTAACTAAGAATGACGGGACACTCAGCGGTGATAAGTGTCTATCTATTTTATCTTAAGAAACAAATTGATTTTCTACTTCAATATGTCATGGGATTGAAAATTCTGAACGAGAAGAATGTGATGAAGTAGTTCAAGAGCCTGTGTTTGCTGACAGATGTAACCTATATAGTGAATATTGATGATCTAAATCAACAGAAAATAATGTTCAGATTTTCTAACATTGGAAGAAACCTCATCAGTGTGTTTCAAAGACTGTCTCTTGGAGGAAATACTGAAGTGAATTAAATGCTTTGTAAGCAATTTAATAAAGTGTATATTGGTCAAAATGGCCGTAATTTAATTACCAGTATAATAGAAACGTCTTAGTGTCTGGACCAGCTCTAAGATTTTGTCTTTTATTTCTCTAATATGTTTTTTTTTACACACACACACACACACACACACACACACACACACACACACACTGTCATGGGTTGCGTTAGGTTTACCCACGCAACCAATTCCAAAGTTTGTTTTACTAGAGATAAGGCACCCGGCGAGCCATAACTGCGACATAAATTTTCCATTAGTGGTATGGGGGAGGCCTATAGGGGGAGGCCAGTGAGACAGATGCTGTACTGTTCATCGCCTCAATCCCCAAAACCTCATTTTAAGTAGTATCCCATAGGACATGGGTTAGTTAAGACGTCGTCCCCATCGTCTCCCTCCTGAAGGGAACGGGACACCACACAGAGTCCTCCACTGCCACCCTGTCCTGTGGACCGTCGTCGACACGAGATTAAGTGTGTTAAACTAGGTTGTTATCCCGTGGAAATATCACGTGTGGATGCCTGGTTGCGACAAGAGCAATCCAGGCTGGCCTATCAAACCTACAGTAAATGGTTAATCAATTAACAATTACAGAGTTCTCCTGCACGACACCTGTCTACAGTGACCGTGATCGACACGAGATTAAGTGTGCTAACCTAGGTTTGTTATCCCCGTGGAAATATCACGTGTGGAAGCCTGGTTGTGACAAAATCAATCTAGGCTGTTCTATTGCACCTACGTGGTTAATCCAAGTCACGCTTACCAGTTCTCCTTGCAGCGAGAACCGTCTACAGTGACTGTCAGTGACACCAGACTGTGTGGTAACCCAAAAGTACCTTTTTGTTGTTAATCCCCGTAGAAAAAAGTTCTTGTGCGGAAGCCTGGTTGCAACAAGAGCAATCCAGGCTGGCAGTAAATGTATCACTTTAAGAATTAAGGCTCTGTTAAGTCATACCCATAGTAGAGTAATCACACGTGTTCCCAAGTTGAAAATTCCCTCTTTTAAAAGATTAATTTTATTACAGCGTGAGTGTGAGTGACTCATAAATCCATGCAAATTGTAAATCATTGCATGGAAGCTTGACAAATGAATGTAAGTGCAATTATCTGCCCATATCGTGATCCTATCTAATTATTACTAAAGGTAATGACTAATTGGTTATGACAAAGTATAACCAATAACTTAGATGGATGTTGGAAATTAATGGAACTCATTAAATCATCATTTATCAAGTATAAATCATGGAATGTCGGGTGGTGGAGTGAACTTCTACGTAGATACACCATAATTTCCTGTAAATAACCAGTGTGAAGGTATTGAACTCTACGGTAAGAAATATAAGAAACACACTATATTATAATCTTTATATAATATAATCCGCACTTAGACCACTATGACGAAAAACCATGACACACACACACACACACACACACACACACACACACACACACACACACACTATTACTACTACTACTATGCTGTCACTCGGAACCGAGTATGACGATCATCCAGCTATGATACAATGATATGAGTTAGTAAGGATGTCACCTATTGTAGGTTGGTAAGTTTTGAGGTGACTAAAGAGGCCGATAAGGGACTGGCAGGATAGATCACAGATGTTGCACATGTGGGGGGGCTACATCTAGTGCGGGAGGGGCGTTAGCAGCGTCTTTTCGGCCTTGGCGCTTGTCTGCCTCTTCATGCAGTCGGGCTAACTTGAAAATATGGACACCTTCTTGTGTGGTGATCCACCAAGCGTTACCGTGTAGAGTAATCGTCTCCCAGGTGAGGGGGTCGATTTAGCACTTTTTCAGGTTTGTCTTAAGACTATCCTTATACCTTTTCAGTTGCCCGCCAGCGTTACGTTTACTATTCGTTAGGTGACTGTAAAGTAGCTGCTTTGGCAGTCTGCTGTCGTCCATGCGGGTAACATGGCCAGTCCAGCGTAGTTTTTCATGGATAATGATAGCCTCGATGCTTCTACAGGTAGTGTCAGCAAGAATACTGGCATTTGTTCTCTTGTCTTCCCAGCGAACTCAGAGGATGGAAAGTAGACTACTTTGGTGAAAGTTTTCAAGTGCTTTGAGATGCCTCCTGTTTGTGACCCATGTCTCACTACCACATATCAGGGTGGGGAGGACCACTGCTCGATATACGTGTAAGTTTGTAGATAATTTCAGCTCCATACAGCTGAAGACACGGTTTGGAAGTCTGCCAAAGGCTTCAGATGCACATCTGATCCGATGCTGAATCTCTTCATCGATGTCGGCGATGGTGGACACACTCACACACACACACTGGACTATTGAGATATATTGGTTGCCTCTAGTTTTCTAGCAAAGCTACTCTTAAGCCCCAGTTATTCAACTAGGTACTCTAGTTACTCAGAAAATCACCACTTCACTTTTTTCCATAAACAGGCTGTTTATGAGAAAAAGTAAGAGTAACTGTGCTAGAAAGCTCGAGGCTTCCAATGTATCTCAACAGTCTATATATTCGAGGACTTCAATGTACAAGCATTACCTCACTAGTCAGGAATCGTGGCAGCGATCCCTGTTCACACTCAGAGGTCCTGGGTTATCTTGTTATTGCTAAGTTTCATCAAATTTGGTCATCATAATAGCTTTGAGACATAGTATTGATTGATACATATTATTATTGATACAGAGACTTACTTAGACATACACAAATAACGAACATGACATTTTCGTCATATCATGCTCTTAATAAAGTCCAAGTAATCAAGAAAAACATATTTTTCATAAGGTGTAATGTTATGCCAGCAACATTCTTGTCAGTTCACTCACCTGTAAATGGCCTTATCAGTGACAGATACTCGGGCAGTGGTCGTGGCTTTGAGGACATAATTATCACTGATTCGTCGATATACACCCGACAGTACTGTACTACGGCGGCTCTCTGTGGCGTGACAGTCAAGTCGAGGGAAAAGTCTGCCTGTTGATGCTGAAGCTCTCCCACGATACCTGTGAAGTTGTCCCCCTCACCTGGGACGCCCCACTGACGGTCCAGCGGCTCCCTGATGTCATACCTAGGCAGAAAATGCACTAGTTGTCTTGAAATAGTAATGAGGATAATAATAGCAGCAACAGCATTAAAATTATATAATTAATAAAAAAAAATACGTATTCCAATCATCCTTGACGACCATATGTGACAGTGTGATGATCAACATAATTATGGGAATGATCTGAAGTAATTTTCAGATAAATAGGACAATGGAGGCAATTAAACCCCCGACAGCAAATTGGAAAATCATTAGGGAGTTTATAGTAGAGATAGACACTAACTTACTGTGCACCGTTCCTTCGCCAGTACCCAACCAACTGAAAACTTGTAAGAATAAAGAAGCTGATATGTGTATTGTCAGAGCTTAGAAGCTGCTGAAGTGAATATAATGTATTGATGAGCGTACATAGACTATAATCGTCGTTGAGACTGAGGTGCATATTTGTGTACCAGACCAATGGTGAGATTAACCAGTTGAAAACATGTCGAAGACCGGACGTGTGTAGGGAAATCGAAAATATTGTACTTGAAAATGAAGTGCGTAGTGTGACAGTGAAGGAAGGGATAGGTAGAATATCGTACGTAAAGTTGAGGAGTGGGGCCATGGTGTGGATCATACGGGTGTTGAGGGAGTCCTGAATGAAGATCTCGGTATTGCCTGAGTCTTCACTGGCTCGCTCGAAGCTGAAATATGGAAAGTAACTCTTGGCAGAAACCCTGAACTGGTGGCCCATGAAGTTCTCAGGGTGCTCTGAAATGCAAGCAGAGAGGAAGATTTCATTGCTAGAGGTGTAATAGTATATTGCTGAATGAAAACTGTGTCATACTGGAAGCAGAGAGCAATAATCTCAGAAAGAATCGGAAGCAAATATTTTTTGTACAACCTGTTAGTACAAATATATAAACATAGGCACCGGGTATACAGCATATGTGCAGCAATCTCCATAGAGTAACATGTATGGTTATGAAATTCTTATAGTGAGACACTGAAAGTGTCTTTCAAGTAAAAATAATTATCAAAGAATATATTTTTCACCACAAGAGGTGAACAGGTCCAACAATGAGAGACTGCATTAAATGGAACTTTTTTTATTCCTGTTACAAGAGGAATATGATATATTATTAGATCACCGTGTCGCATTTCTCAACTTGTCCCATTGACACGGCGTGGATAAAATAAAACATGTTTAGCTTATTAATAAATCCATTATAAAGTAAGACTTAGTTATTTACTTCGTGCAATTCCTTTATGTGTTCCCAGTTACTCAGTCACGTACTATGAGTTAAGTATAACTGAACGAAAGGAGACGAAAGCCCCAAGTTAAATCTACCCTTTTCTCATATAATTATATAAAATGGTACAAAATAATATGAACTTCTGCCAAATTGTGAGAGAAACTTCGGCAAAACTGGGTCCCACCTAACACCCTAGGAAAGGACAACACAAACCTCTACCATGTGGTGTGGCAACAAATAGCGAGACGGACCAGCATTAGCAATGTTGTGGATGTGTGGCTTCCATGGCATATTAGAGCAAATGGTGAGGCCTAGCATATCTATTTTAGAACTTGGCAGAATGATTGCATCCTGAAATGTGATTGGCGGGAGATCACCTAATTTGGAAACTGTAATTGGTAAATATTGAGTTTTATTACTTTTGATTTTGACCAAGTTTCTACCGCCACTTTCGGAGATGCTGCACAGATCCTCATTGATAGATGAACTGATAGCAGCTCTAGAAACAGATCTAGTTTGAGAATTAGGGGGAATGGAAAAATATGAAAAATTTGAAGAAGAGTGAAGAGTAGAATCATCAGCGTAGGATATGGATAGAATTAGTTGTAGTGTGAAGTAAATCATTGATAAAAAGAAGGAAGAGAGTAGGCGAAACAACAGAACCCTGTGGGACACCACTATTGGTCGAGAAAGAGCGAGAGATCGATCCCTCGATAACAACTGCCATGGATTGGTTCTCAAGGAAGATAGATATTAGAGAACAAGGTGGGGGGAGTGAAACCATAAGAGGGAAGTTTAGAAAGTAAAGACTTGTGCCATACCCTGTCAAATGCTTTGGCGATGTCGAGGGCCACGACGAAAGTTTCCCCATAATCCCTGAGAGAGGATGATCAAAGATGGGTGTAGTAGGAAAGCAGATCACCAGTAGATATCGCCTGGCGAAAGCCATACTGGTGATCCGACAAAAGATAAACGAGTTCAAGGTAATGGAGAAAATGAGATATTTTCGAAAATCTTAGAGGGGGATGAAGTAAGGGGAATGGGACGATAGTTAGAGGGATTGGAATGGTCACCCTTCTTCGGGATAGGCTGAACCGAGGCATGCTTTCAAGAAGAAGAAAAATGTGGGTTTTGAGGGAAAGGCGAAACAGGCGAGCAAGCACATGGGCTAGAATTGCAGCACACTCCCTCAGAACACGAGGGGGTATTCCGTCCAGTCCGTGCGCTTTACTCACATCCAAACTGGATAACACGTCAGCAACCCAAAAAGTAGAGATTATATGAAAGTGCATAGGTTCAATAGGAGGAGCAGCAGTAGGAGGGATAGAGTTGGAGAATAAGGTGCCAAAGATATTGCATTTGTCAGGGGGAGAGTTGGCTATAGAGTTGTCAGGTCGGAAGAGAGGAGGAAAAGGAGTGCAGAAGTTATTACAGATGTTTTGGGTTAAGGACCAGAAGGATTTACTAGAGAAGAGTTAGTCAGGACAGCGGTCTTTCTTTTTATAAAATTCCTCTTGGCCCTACTAAGAATAGCTTAACAACGATTCTTAGAAGTAATGAAAGAAGAGTGGGTAATCGGAGAAGGACATATTATCATAACTTGACACGCCCTATCTCTCTCCCTGCATGCAAGAGTACAGGAGCGATCAAACCATGATTGTAAAGTGAAAATTTTGGTAGAAGATGGGATAAATGCACTCCTACCACCCTGTATAACCCCAGCAATGCTGTCAGCACATACCGAGGCATCCCGAGTGGAAAAGTAACATTTATCCCAAGGAAATTCTGGGAAGAATTCTCGCAAGGATTGCCAGCTTGCCGTCCGATAGTGCCACAGTTGACGTTTAGAGGGGGGTGGGGGAGGTGGTCGTGCCCAGTTTGATTTAATAGAAATAAGATTGTGATCAGAAGACCCTAAGGGGGCAGAAATTGGGTATGAATAGTGTGAGGGGTTAGAGGTAAAACAAAGATCAAGAATGTTAGCAAGTTGATCGTGTCGATCAGGAACGCGTGTAGGGTGTTTGATTATTTGTTCCAAATCATTAAATAAGGAAAAAGAGAGTGCCACAGCTCCACCTGGGTCATCCCTTGCAGAGCCATGCTGCCTCCTTGTGTACCGAAGGCTTAGTATACAGTGTGCTGTATCCATACTGTCCCTAATGGGCACTCATGCCTATGGGACTCACTTTAACTTTCTCTCCACACAGAGGCAGAAGGTTCCACTACCTTTAGGAACCAGGACCACTTTCGGTGCTTACGGCGTCAAGCTCGGACGGATCAGGCCTTGCTCCTAAAAGTCATTTCACATCCGCTCGTAGGAATTCCTTCTCCTCAGCATTGAGGCTATAAGGGGCTTGGCGTATTGGATGGGACCCTCGGGTGTCCAAAGTCATGTTGCAGAAGACAAGTAATATCCGCCACCTGGGTGGCAGGCAGGTATACAAGTTTAACACTGAGATCCATCAAGATTTCAGAATTAGTCAATATGGATCCGACAAAAGGAAAGGGTCATGATCACTTGTACCCTCTTCTCTCTTAGCTGTTTCTAGAGCTATATATTAATTGTACTGGTCACATCTGACTCATAATTATCCCTAGTGTAGTACCTTTTCAGAGGTTTATATGAAATTGACGTTTTTCTTGCAGCTCACTGGGATTTCAATTATATTATTAACCTCCCCAACACGCTGTAAATGCACGATGAGGACCATAGAAATATGACTGAAGATGTTACTTTGCACGGGCAACAAGGCCATGACCTGATCACCCTCCTTTTTTAAGTTCTAAGCAGCACCTTATTAATTTTGTTAAACTTAATCTTTATACATTCTTGAGCCTTTGTCAGGTGGGCATGCACAACTCTTACAGCTGCCGCGAGGGTCTTCATAAATTTATAAAAGTATACGACAATTGGAACAGCATCCATCGCACTTTTAAAGGTCTTCTAATCTCATGTCCATAAATAATTGAAAGGAGGTGAATCCAGGACTTTCCTGTGCACTGTCCTCCACAGACAACAACAACATATCAATAACCTTATCCCAGTTCTGTCTTATCTCTAAGCAAAATACATTAAACATTGCTTTGAGAGTGTGGTGGAAACGTTCAATTATTCCCTGACTTTGAGGGTGAAAAATCATCAACCGGCACTGACGGGTCACCAAGGTTTTCATTACCTGCCCGAGCAACCGAAAGGTAATATTTGACCCCTAATCTGTCCGCACAATGGCAGGCAGACCAATCTGTTTGAAAAACTTGGTCAGGACCCTAACAACACTCCTTGTCGTCATATTCCGGAGAAAAATGGCCTCGTGATAACAAGTAGCAACATCAATGATGGTTACCAGGAATTGATGGCCTCGTCTAGCCTTGGGCAGCGTTCCCACACAGTGAATGACTACTTTTCTGATAGGTTCCTCAACATCGACAAGGATCGGATGAAAAATGAGCTGGTTTGGTGCCAGTCCCAGATTATCTTTAACCTGGTAAATGTGGCAATCCCTACAGTACGAGCTAACACCATGTTTAAGCTTTGACCAGAAGAAACAGGAAAGAATCTTGGGGTAGGTCTTTCTTACCCTAAGGTGACCACCTACAGTATCATCATGAGCGATACTAAGAATCTCCTTCCGTAAAGACTTCAGAATTATTATCTGATGGGCTGTCTTCCATATCTCCCAGGTGTGATGTGTCTGGGCTGTTAAGAGTCTAAAATTCAAAATTTATGCATGAGTGAACCTGACTGGAGGTACAAACAATTAGGAAAACTATCCAAATCAGATTCATCAATAAGGTGATCAAAGATATATTTGAAATCGCGATTGTGAGACAAATCCTGAATGGGTTTAGCTTTAGTGATAGGAGGATCTCCAAAGCTGATGGCATTAGAACTAGAAGTAACGTGTCTACCTGTTAGCGTGGAATCTATCTCATGAGGGGGTTTTGTTAAATAAATCAGAGGGAGAATAATCCTCTGAGATGCCACCTCGATTGTCGCAAGGCTCAGATACAAAGTAAACCGTTCTTTCAAAATGAGGGGAAATTTCCTTCAGGTTCCTCAGTAAATTTTGGGACAAACCGAATAGCATATTCTACTCTAAAACGCTGAACCCCTTCACCCTGGTAAGGGGTAACCTCTCGTTTCAACACGTACCCTCTCAACCTCAACCTTACGACTCTTCAGTACAAATTATCTATGTGTACTCACTGATAATTCCATATTCCGACAAATGGTTCGCCACTAAATAACGTATTTCGTCTTTCTTCTCTGTGGAAACGGCATTCAAGACATAGAAACTTGTTAGCAAAAATATTTCGACGCAATATAATGATGGGAACTACATTCTTTTATATAAAAAAATCGTAAGAAATATTGATCTGGAGTCAATAAAATCAGTTCCAAATATGTTAGAAACACTATTTTTTACGAAAATAGTCCTGAATAATTGATCTAAAAGTTTGGTTATATAAATATATTTGTTTAAAAATCCATATGAAAAGAGGCAGAGTAGTAATCTATGACAGGGATAATTTGAAGTGTTGAATCAATAAGGATATAAAAACTGAAGTGAGTACAGAAACAATTGGGATAGAATTAACAGATGATATGGAGAAATTAAGCATAGAAGTAAGATATAGATCAGAAAGAAACCTAACCTGATCGAACCTAGCCAAGTTACGACGCCCTGCAGTGATTCATCTCGCTTGGGTTATGAATATTGACACCTGTCCCTGATTATATCTACAATTTGTATGTAGTTGTTCTTCCTCTATGAATTTCTTTGTCCTCATATAATAACACATGCACGTTGTAACACAGTCATTATAATTTGATCATTATTTGGTTGTAATTATAGTAACAAAGGTAACTTGCGATGTGCAAGGAGAGATTTCTTCTCCTCCGTAAGAACCTGTCGAGTCATAGTTGCCTCCATAATCTTATAAACATTACTCTCGATGGTGATTGGCCGTCGTAATGGTGTAACTGAAATATGATTGGCTGGAATTTCAGCGTTCGAATCCTTCCTAGTAATTGAAAAAAAAAATGCAACAGATTACTCGATCCGAGTTTCAAGCCAATGTTCTGAATATGGATGATTAACTGCGGGATATCTTGGATCGAGGAATCTCAATTCACACGCTTGAGCCAAGCTCAAATCCCAGGCTCAAGCCATCATTCTGATATCAGGCCTAAGGGATTCCCCAAAATGTATAAAACTAAAACACGAGACAAGTTTCGATCAATAAAGTACGATACCAGCGAACTAAATGATAATGACGGAGAAATGAACAATAATCTGATTTTTTTTCACAATAAAAAATTTAAAAATGATACCCAAGGCGCCGACTATCTACACTGAGATAGTGAAGAAATAAATCAAGTGAGATAGTAGTGACCAGTAACGATATTAGTAAGCAAATAGAAAAACTAAAACCTAATAAGTCGCCAGGTCCCGACAAAATATTTGCCAGAGTATTAAAGAAATGTAAGGAAGAACTTAGTATGCCCCTAGCAAACGTGTATAACATATCATTAAAAACGAGTGTTGTACCAAAATCCTGGAGAATAGCGAATGTGATACCAATTTTCAGGAAGGGAGATAGATCACTATCCTCTAACTTCAATCTAATCAGTTTAACACCATTTGTTGGCACAGTACTTGAAGCAATATTTTGAAACGCAATTCGAAATCACCTCGAGAAACACAATTTGATCAATGATTCCTAGCATGGCTTCACAAATGGACGTTCATGTCTGACAAATCTATTAGCATTCTTTTTAACTATTTTCAAATCACTGGATAACAGACGCGATTATGATGTGGTTTACTTCGACTTTAGCAAAGGTTTCGACAAGGTTTCCCATGAAAGTTTAATACCCCGTATGTAAAGTAGATGCTCATGGAATTGAAGGAAATATTCTAATCTGGATTTGGGTCACTAAATCCGAGTGGGGTAACGTGACTAAAGTATCTCCACGCTAACCTGGCCCAGAAGCCACGCTCCTCTTCTATAAAAATAGCTGATTAGTTGATAGAAAATGTTCGTGTAGCTGTCCATTTATTCAAACTAAATATGTTCACTATTGGTAAGCAGATCTGCTATTCTCTAAAATAGTGTTAAATATCTGAACTATGAAAATGCAAATGATTTCATGGTATTAGCACCCCAGCTAGGAAACACGGGGCTACATAATTATATATCTCAACAATCCATATTCACGAGAGCTTCCATATACAAACAATACCCCACTAGTTAGGAATTGAACCCTGGACCTCAGCGTGTAAAGAGGAATGAGTACTACTGCACCACCACGACTACATATTAAGCACGGGCAATACTCGATGGAGGGTCACGTTGATTAAGCTTAAAGCAAATGAACAGGTCAAGGGTTGCTTATATTTTCCTTGTGGATGGTGGTAGCGATCCCTGTTCACACGCAAGGGTCCAGGGTTCGATTCTCGACTAGTGAGGTATTGTTTGTATATGGAATTCTGCGTGTATATGGACTGTTGAGATACATATTTAGCCTCGTATTTCCTAACTGGAATTGGTCAAATGCTACTAAGACCACAGGTAAATATTTAGTAGTTGCAGACTTAATTGACTTTGAAAATGGGTTTTTATCGTGTGAATCATCGTGTTAAATACAAATATGACCTCCATTGCCATCATATATGAACTGTAGTTGAGATATTGAAAAAAAAAGTGGAAGGTCGGAAACACAAAAACCTGAAAAACCATACCTAACCTACAACCTAACCTAACCCCTAGTGTGTAAGAAACGCACCTTAAGTAAGAGATACAGGAAGATAGAGTGACGTGGCTTGAATGAGGAGTACCATGCATGGCGATCTACACCGTATTGACACTGTGAATTACGTCTTGGACACTTTACAGATGAAACAAGAATGGCCGCTACTTCATTGTCCATCCTTCTCACACGGATGTCATCTTCCAACTGCTCGAGAACCGAGACTTGCTTTGATTGGCGCACGAGTAAGGCATCACATCGGCACTCACGCTGATTAGCGCGAACGACTATGACGTCACATCAACACTGGTGCTGATTGGCTGAATATTATACAATCAAAGTTAAATAACTCGAAAACTATAAATTACCGACAGAAACGTTATAGAATAAATTATTTTTAATTTTTTCCTCTTACTACCTATATATGACTCAATATTCAATTAGTTGTTGGCAACTCCTAAATATTAACCCGACGTCATAGTTGGCACGGGCAATCCCAGATGGGGTTCACGTTGCTTAGGAATAAGACTAATGAACAGGCTTTGTCTAAAATAAAACAAAGCCTAGAATTGCTTTTGTTGTCCTTGTGGCGCGTTGTTGGTAATCCCTGTACACACACAGAGGTCCAGGGTTCCATTCCCGACTAGTGAGGTATTGTTAGTATATACTGTACCATATTCTGAAGTCCTTTTAATCCGTATATATTTCTGTATATATCTCTAGATGTATGATGTGTGTGCTTATGTATCTGTGTGTGTATATGTCTGTGGGCTGGCAGAGTTATGTGCGTAATCATGTGGGTGTATACCATAATTATGTATATGCAGTTTTGACGAAAAACACAAAAGAATAACAAAAAAACAGTAAAATTTAAATTGCATTAAAAAACAATAGAAAAGGACTAAATCAGACATTGCTTGTAAATGTATTTTGCCAGATTTTATAGTACACACAACTCATTCATATCATATTAATCATATAAACTTCCAAGCAGTCCAGTCACCATCATTGACTTTTTAATAAAATATCCCCCTTCCCAGAAAGCGTGTGCGCTGTTCCTTTGAATGATTGGCGCCGTCTAGTGAAAGAATATCAGCAATACCATACAAAGACACCAGGACTGTAACACGTTCCCCTATTAGTAGAGCGGATAATGGAAAAATCGGGCAAATGGTGATACAAGCATGGAATTTGGCATGATCATACCCTAGGGGCTACTTGTCAAATCTGCCTCATTGGTCATTTGGAAATCCAAGATGGCAGCCATTTTTCAAGATGGCTGCCAAATTGACCTTCGATAGATGCTTTTTTTTAGAAATTGATGTAGTTGGTCAATCTAAATGATCTTAGCGTCGCTATGTATGTTTTCAAGCATGCTGAGATGATTTTTTTCTATTTCTGATACTCTCAGATGTATATTTGTCTTATTTATGACTGGTTTTATGTACTGGTTTTATTTTTTTTCAACTAGGTGAGGGTAGCATGCAGAGGGTCTCTGCATGTGAGGGAGTGATTGTCGGGCACTACCAGGGCACAGTGGTGACATCACTGCTGTGCAACCCAGCATGGGGTTCAGTGTCAGCTAAGAAAAAGCATGTCATACTGCAACAGCTTAGTGTCCCAAATGCTGCTTAACCAACCCCAAATCAGATAAGCAGCCGCACCTGAATTGACAGGATGTGCCAGCGCGGGAGAGTCCAGCCAAGGATAACGGGGTTTTAGTTATCTGAATGGTGTACAGATCGCACGGGACTAATGACACTGGAAGAACGATCGGACTAGAAGTTGGACAAAAGGCATGAACCTAGTTGTATCCCATACAAGAAAGTGCTCATCAGGGTGGTAAAAGGATAAACCCTCGGCCCTGAAGATCAAAAATAGTTATGGACACAAAATCTACCAACAAATCATTCCTCACTGACTGGGCAAAGCGTTGTCTTTGTCAACAGGATAAGTAAGAAGATCTTAAGTCTCCTCATGCAAATCCTGCCAAAAAAGGAGATGACGGTTACAAGAACTTGGCAAGGAACATTCCTCTATTTCATTCAATCAATGCACTGCCAATTAAGATTGACCCTGCAAGACTTGTTGAAGATGATGGGATAGAGGAGACCTTGAGGAGAAACAAGGCACAGTATCATGAGAGTTGCAGACT